TTTGGATTCCCTTGATTTTTCGGACTTCGACGTATGTGTTGAATGTATCAAGGGAAAACAGACCAAAGTGAAGAGATTAGGTGCCAACAGATCTTCGGATGTCTTAGAATTGATACATACGGATATTTGTGGGCCATTCCCTACGGAATCCTGGAATGGTCAACAATATTTTATATCATTCATAGACGATTACTCACGTTATGGGCACCTATATCTTATTCATGAAAAATCTGAGTCTCTGGACATGTTCAAAGCCTATAAAGCTGAAGTTGAGAATCAACTCAACAGAAGAATTAAAACCGTCAGATCTGATCGTGGTGGTGAGTACTACGGTAGATATGATGGTTCAGGTGAACAACGTCCAGGACCATTTGCTAGATACCTAGAGGAATGCGGTATCGTCCCACAGTACACTATGCCGGGTTCACCTAGCATGAATGGTGTAGCTGAAAGACGAAACAGGACTCTTAAGGATATGGTAAGAAGTATGATTGCTCATTCTTCTTTACCAGAGTCACTCTGGGGAGAAGCACTTAAGACAGCAGCTTACATTCTGAATAGAGTACCAAGTAAAGCAGTTGCTAAAACACCTTATGAGCTTTGGACTGGTCGAAAGCCCAGTTTAAAGCATTTACATATTTGGGGATGTCCAGCTGAGGCAAGGCCTTATAGGCCAAATGAAAAGAAATTGGACTCCAAAACAGTTAGCAGCTACTTTATTGGGTACCCTGATCGCTCTAGGGGCTATAAGTTTTATGATCCCACTATAAGGAATATTTTTGAGACGGGAACAGCAACATTCTTTGAGGATGTTGAGTTTGGGGGGAGAAATAAGGTTAGAGACATTAGTTTTGAGGAGGAATTGGCTTCAGATCCAATCCATACAGTTACTTTTGACAATATTCAGGTTCCTATACCTGTTGTTGCTCAAGAAGTAAATCCGGAACCTCAAGATGATAATGTTGAACAACTCCCTGTTCCAGAAGAACAAACTCAACAACCTCAAGAACCAGTGCCATTAAGGAGATCCACGAGAGAAAGGAGAAATGCTATTCCGGATGATTATATTGTATTTCTCCAAGAACATGAGGAAAGTAGTGGAATGTTAGAAGATGATCCAATCAACTTCTCTCAGGCCATGAAAAGTTCTAACTCTCAACAGTGGATTGATGCCATGAATGAAGAGTATAAGTCTATGCAAGACAATAAGGTTTGGGAACTTGTCCCATTGCCAGAAGGTGCAAAACCAATTGGTTGTAAATGGATTTTTAAAACCAAGCGGGATGCAAACGGTAATGTGGAGAGGTATAAGGCGCGTCTTGTGGCTAAAGGCTATACTCAAAAGGAAGGCATTGATTATACAGAGACTTTCTCTCCGGTTTCATCGAAAGACTCTTTCAGAATAATCATGGCACTTGTTGCTCATTATGATCTTGAGTTACATCAGATGGATGTTAAGACTGCATTTCTCAATGGAGACATTGATGAGATGATTTATATGGTGCAACCAGAAAACTTTGTGTCAGGAGACCCAAAGAATATGGTTTGCAAATTAAGGAAATCCATCTATGGACTCAAGCAAGCTCCTCGTCAATGGTATCATAAGTTTCAACAAATAGTTATCTCGTTCGGTTTTGAGATGAACATTGTTGATGACTGTGTATATCACAAGTTCAGTGGGAGTAAGTATATTTTTCTGGTTCTGTATGTGGATGACATCTTGCTTGCCACTAATGATATAGGCATGTTGCACGAAACCAAGAGATTTCTATCAAAGAATTTTGAGATGAAAGATCTTGGGGACGCCTCTTTTATATTAGGGATCCAGATACATCGAGATCGCTCTCGGGGTATTCTTGGATTATCACAAAAGAGCTATATCGATAAGGTACTTAAAAGGTTTGGCATGCAAGATTGCAGACCAGGTGACACCCCTGTTGCTAAAGGAGACAAGTTTAGTCTCAATCAGTGCCCTAAAGGTAACCTTGAAATTCAGGAAATGCAGAAGATTCCTTATGCTTCGGCTGTAGGAAGTCTAATGTATGCTCAGGTATGTACGCGTCCGGATATTGCGTACATTGTTGGGATGTTAGGCAGATACTTAAGCAACCCTGGTATGGATCATTGGATAGCAGTCAAAAGGGTTATGAGGTATCTTCAGAAAACAAAAGATTACATGCTCACATACAGAAAATCAGAGAAATTAGAGGTCATTGGGTATTCGGACTCTGATTTTGCTGGATGCCAAGATAGCAGGAAGTCTACATCAGGCTACATTTATATGTTAGCAGGAGGAGCTATATCATGGAAAAGTGTCAAACAAACACTAGTAGCTTCCTCCACTATGGCAGCAGAATTTGTAGCTTGCTATGAGGCATCCAATCAGGGAATATGGCTGCGAAATTTTGTCACGGGACTGCGCATTTTGGAAAATGTTGAAAGACCACTAAGGTTATATTGTGACAATAAATCTGCAGTAATGTATTCCAATAACAACAGGAGCTCAACTAAGTCAAAACATATTGACATTAAGTTCCTGGTTGTGAAAGAAAGGGTACAGAGTGGACAGATATCCATAGAGCACATTGGGACAAACTCCATGTTAGCTGATCCTCTTACTAAGGGATTGCCACCTAAGGTCTTTCATGAGCATACTGCTCATATGGGTGTGGTATTATTTGAGGATATTATGTTTTAGTGGGAGTTTGTATTTGTGGTGCTTTATGTTTGTTTGTATTGTCTGATCAGAATAAAGTTTTCAGTTAAGACACTCTGTTACATTATGTTTGGTTTTGACCTCACTAAGGAGGACCAGTTGAAAATAGACATGTACTGATCACATTGCATGTAATTTTCATGCTGCACATCCATGATTGATCTATGTCGTTTGATTGTATTGGTATATGTGACCATTGATGGGTCGAGTCACGATAAATGTGACGAAGGCCGCTTTGATCCTATATTGATATAGTCAATGGACGAGATTGTTCGGAAATACCATTTCAGTGATAGCAATTTTTGAGCTCATAAGGTTATACACAGTTTAAGGAATCATATGGTGCCCAAGTGGGAGATTGTTGGATTTAATCTAATAAATCTATTTGTGGGCACATATGATTAATCAATGTGTATTGCTATCTTTCAGGATAACCCATTAAAGTGATCAATTAAGTTGGGTTAATTTGGTATTTAAATAAGTCATGGGGTTATATGTGCAGATACCAGGTTGTAATTGTAATTTATTGAGGGGCTAAATTACAAAAGTACAACATCTATAAATAAGGGGTTATGGTCCCTAACCTAGGGTTACATTCTCTAATTCTCTACACCCCCATCTAGCTAGAGAAATTCGGCTAAAAGAGAAAACCCTAAGGTTAGAAGATCCAAAACCCAAAATCAAGATCAATCTATGGATTCAGGTATAAGCTTCCGCTCTCTTTTGATTTTGTTAATCTCTTTGAATTAATCATGGCTATATGGTTTTAGATCTCAAGTTTTATGATGTAGATCTAACAGAAAATTCTTGAAACTTGAATGTTACCTTTGCAAAACCAAGTAAGAATCAGTGAGATTTTTAGAAAACACTAGCAACAAAGAAAATGATGATGAAACTAGAAGCATTCTCTTGCAGGATCATAATCTAATATGATTTTTTTTCAACAAAAATTTTAACAAAAATAGCAAAACTTACCTAAGATATCCTTTCCCTCTTTTTTTTAGAATTCAAAAAAAAAAAATTGATAGCTGAATATCTTGGTAATTAATGTTATAGTAAGTGGGTAGAATTTATGCGATTTTTCTCAAAGTTAATTATTCTATTTTTTCTGTTAGTACATTCTGTTATTATTTTTTCTGTAATTAAAAATTCTATAGTTATTCACTTTTTTTATTTTGATAACATATATTAATTGATAAGATATTAATTTGGAATAAGATATATTTGGTAATTATTTTTTCCATAATTAAAGATTCCGTAAATATTCCCTATTGTGAATTTTCATAAGATCATGATTAAGTTATATTATATAATATATTCTGTAATTAAGATTTCCATAATTAAGATTTTTGTAATTAAATATTCTGTATGATATTAGTTAATTAAGATCAAGATTAAGGTAAGATGATGGTTTAGATTAGGTATAAGTGCTAAAAAATTTTGAGAAGAGAAGAGTTCATGTCATGTGACAAGCTCTGGGAAGGTTAAACTCAAAGGTATCGTTTGGCAAAGGGTTAAGTGAGGGGTTAAGGAGACTTAACCCATTCTTAACCTGCCAAACACAACAAATCTATATAAGGGTTAAAGTGAGTTAACCCTCCATAATTTGCCAAACATAAAAAATATAGAAGAGTTAAGTTAACCCCTCTAGAGGGGTCAAAATGAGTTAACCCCTCAAAATGAGGGGTTTACTAATACTCCTATTTAGATGAAATAAGAGTTAACCCTTCTAATTATAAAGAAAATAGTCAAAACTATTGTTATTCCCAAACACTAAAACTGATCATAAGGGCTAAAACAAAACTTATTTAACGGGTTAATAATTTAGTCTTTCGGATTATCAAATGGGCTAAGTACATTAATCTTTCTCTTTAACCCCTCTTTATTAACCTTTTGCCAAACGGGGCCAAAAGGTCTTGCTTAGAGTATACATGTAGCAACAGATTAGCCAACAACATACTTATCAAATGACCCAAATTCATATCCTACCAAACGCACGTCTCTAAAACAAATTAAGAAGTATACTGCTACATAGAATAAGTCCAAATTTTGACATATAAAAAAGATGATTAACTGCAAGGACATATTAGATTATAAATTACCTCAATTCACGTTGTAATTTCAGAATTTTTTTTGCAATAAAAAGAATTTAAATAGATTTTTTTTCCCACTAACATGATTTGAATTTAGGACTTTTCATGATCAATTTTCTCTAAAAAAAAGTATTATTCTATACAATTCTTGTGAAAACCAATTACAATTTACACTATCCAAATTTGTATAGGTTAAAGGAGTGCAAGGGATCAAAGGACATAAACAAAGAGAATCTATGTGGTCGTCCTTTAGGTTTACAATTCAACAAGAGGACCAGAGATCTCTACATTGCTGATGCATATTTTGGGCTATTGATTGTTCATCCCGGTGAAAAATTTGCTACACCAATTGTTACTCAAGCACAAGGGAAATCTTTGCACTTTACCAACAGCTTGGATATTGATCAAGACAGTGGAATCATTTATTTTACCGATAGCAGCATGAAGTTCCAAAGGAGGTAAAAGTTTTCTGGTATTTAATTTAACATGATTAAGTTTATATTAGTTACGTGATACGCAAGTAAGAAATTAAAATCCATCTATGAAAATACAAAAGAATTGAACTGAACAAACATATATATTTACAGAGAATTCCTGAAAGCAATCATCTCTGGGGACAAAACAGGAAGAGTTCTGAGCTACAACCCACAAACCAAAGAAGTCAAAGTCCTACTCAATAACTTATCTTTCCCCAACGGAATTGCATTAAGCCAAGGTGGCACCTTCCTCCTCATTGCAGAGACAACAACTTGCAGGTAAGTGCTAGAAACTTTTTTTTGTTTTTTAATTTAGAAAATACACCTTTGGCGTACATAACAATCACCACAACTACTACGTCTTTAGCGCACATAGGCATCAAGCCCGGGCTCCCCCACTAAGACACGGCTTTACCATGTAATCTAATAGACTACCTAGGTAAATGCAAGAAATTGATCCAATCGAATCGATTATTAAGATGGTCACACATATTTTTATGCTTAAAAATCTAATAGATTCAAATATTCATGAATATCTATCAAATATCAAAATATATTTATTTGGTTGATATTTATAGGGTGAATTTCACATAGCCCCTATGAATCTTGCGGGGGAGTTGCAATGACCGTCTCACAAAATCCCCCTAAACTATAACCTTCTCTCATTGGACCCCCTGATTGTAATTTTCAAATAATTAAAATGTTTTTTAGAGGAAAAAAAAACCTCAAACCCTGTCATTTGTCATTTACATACCTCCTCCCATTAATTTTGAGATTTTTTTTCTCAAGAAATTTTTAGTTATTTAGAAATATTCATAGTTTAGGGGGTTCTGGTGAGAAAAATTCATAGTTCTAGGGGGGTTTTGTGAGACACCCCAAAATCCTGAGGGGTTTTCTGATATAAACAAAGTTTAGGGGGTTATGTGCAATCCCCCTAAAGTTCGGGGGGTTATGTGAAATTAACCATATATGTACTTTATGAATATTAAACTATTTAATGAAGAAGAAGTTTATTTATAAAAAGATTATTTTGTTAAAGAAATATATCAAATTTAGGGTACTGAATTTTTAAATGGCGCCTTTTAAATCCATAATTGAAAATTAATGTTTAGTAGATGTTCCTCATGTATCGTCCAAGTATCATTTGGATCATTTAAGTTTAGAATTCATCAATAGAAGTCTCTAATGTTACATCCGTGATTAGACTAGCTCCTTTTAGAATTTTTTGTTAAACCTAGCTGATGTATCATTGGCATGGCGCAACTAAATTATAATCTCACTATTTATGCTGACTGGATATCCTCCCTCTCTCATCTTCTAGGGGAAATAGACACAGGTTTTTGGCCTGGTTTGGGGGGAGGGGGAGGGAGTGTTGAGGAGTATTGACGTAATAAAAATTTAGTGAAATTACAAATGTATTATGTCATGTCACTGCTATGTTAGCGAGATTTAATGAAAATTTGTGAAAAGAATCCAGGTTGATTACAAAAATAAAGTCTCGACTGATGACTTCTAACATTAAGCAACTAAATTGATATTTGGCCAATACATGAGGTATCTCCAAACTAAAGTTTCGCCTAAATTACAATTCTGCCTAATAAATCTATAGTTTGATGTTTACAAGAACTAATTTGGCACTCTTTGATTCTCTCAAAATTAGTTTATAAATTAAAGTAAATATAATACTTGATAATTATTCGATCAACCTCCACTTTTAGAATATGTTGTGATAAAAAATTTGTGATAAATAGTATTTGCAGAAGATAAATCTGTAGGACTAAATTGCACAATGCAAATAAGTAGTCAACTAATCAAGTAAATTGAATTAAAATTTGGTTAATTTTTATTCGTTGGAAAACCGAGTAGTCAATTGTTTACTATTTAATAAAGGACAAATTTTTAAAATCAACCGTTTTTTATTATTAATAGGCAAAATCGATCGCTTTATACAAAAATCGGCAAAATCGACCTAGTCCGTGCAGCCCCTATCTCTCTCCTCACCATCTCTCTCTCTCTCTCTCTCTCTCTCTCTCTCTCTCTCTCTCTCTCCTCACTCACTTGCCTGTCATCTACCCCCACATTGTCTCTCCCTCCTCCAGCAAGCCGCCCCCTCTCCTCCCTCGTCCTCATCTGCTCCCACTACCATCACCATAGGCGCCGGCCTCTCCAGCCTCGCCGCAGCCACCCACCTCCACTCCTCCTCCATCCCCTTCCTCCGACTCCGTTGGCTATTCACCTCTCCCAACGAGACCTCCGTCTCCCTTCTCCTTCGCCACACCGACTTCTCCCCTTCCATGGTTGACCGCTTCTTCAAGGTGACAAATACTGCAAGATATCAGGGTTGTCACTTTGTGAAATGAGGGGTTATTGTTAATCAAAATTCTTAATCAGGAACCCGCCAAACACAATTCTTATTCAAAATTCTCTCTTTTTTCAGGAACACGCTGCTAGAGACGAATTCATCTTTCAGGAATTTATTAAACTTAATTCTCAATTAAACTTAATTCTCAACCAAAATTCTCTTCATATCCAATCCGCATGCTCCACATAACCTAATTAATCGAGGACGGAGAACAAAAGGCAAACTCACTGCTGGAGACGATCCTGCAAATCGCCGGAACCGAGACCGGAGACTTCGCCGTAAAATTCCCGATCCCGATCACCACGAGAACGAAGGCGAGAGAGAGAAAGAACGAGAGCCCCAGTGACAAAATGATGCCTCAACCGCAACGAGTCAATATCCTGAGGGCTCGCTTCTCCTCTCCTCCTCCTCCTCCATCACCGGGGATCTGGCTAGGATCTAAAGGATCCATTGGTAAGATAAGTTAGTCGAAATCCATGGCGAATTAGGGTTTCCAATTTGGGGGAATCCGATAGCGGGGAAGAGGAGAGGGATGGGGGGATTTTTTTTGCCGATTTGTGAAATGAGGGGTTATAGACAATTTATAAATGTTCCATTTATTATTATTTTATTATCTGTCGGCAGTGGGAGCAGATGAGGTCGATTTTGCCGATTTTTGTATAAAGCGGTCGATTTTGCCTATTAATAATAAAAAAACGGTTGATTTTAAAAATTTGTCCTTTAATAAACTATAGAATTGAGATCCACCACAAGTGACCCAAAAGGTTGGGAGAGTCCAATATAGCTCTGAGGCTCTTAAGTTCAATTCTGAGCTGGGTTATTAAATAATAATAATAATAATAAAGTATGGAATTGACCATAACAATATTTGTTTACTTGGGTTCATTTTCACGTCTATTAACAGGATCTTAAGATATGGGCTTCAACCTGCCCAAAATAAACTTGAAGTTGTTAATCAATTGATGGGCTTTCCGGATAACATAAAGCCCAGCCCAAGAGGGGGATTTTGGGTTGCAATCCATTCGAAAAGAGGAAAATTGTTAGAGTGGTTTTTCTCTTCTCCTACTTGGTTAAGAGAAGTATTAGTTTTGTTACCACTGGATATTAATAGGGGTTTTTCAATGTTTAGTAGATGGATAGGGAAATGTTTGGCTGTGAGAGTAAGTGAAGATGGTGGCATTTTAGAAGTTGTTGAGGGTTTTGGTGGAAATGTAGTGAAATATGTTAGTGAGGTCGAGGAGGGAAATGGAACATTGTGGTGTGGTTCTGTGTTGATGCCTTATGTTGGTGTTTGTAAGCTCTAGAGAGTACTGTAATAAGTGTTATTGTTTAAAAACCATCTTATTGTTTTGTAAAATTATTATTTTGCCAGTGTTGATGCCTTATGTTGGTGTTTGTAAGCTTTAGAGACTGTAATAAGTGTTATTGTTTAAAACCATCTTATTATTTTGTAAAATTATTATTTTGCCCGTTGATGAGTTCATCATTAACTTTCATAATCCATTATTTTCTAGGGGTACATTGAAGATACCCCCTCTTTGTTTTTATCTTCAGTAGTATTTATCATTCCTCAACTGATTTATTAGCACTTATAATCCCTCATTAGATGAGAAAGAGAAGGTTAGATGCAATTTATTATGCACAAAATACCAGGATGAATGCTACTCAATATAATAGACTAGTGGGTCATTTGTCACAATTTACCCTACTTCCTGTATTATTGATACCTATTTTGGCTCGGCAAATGGGTCCTTCTTAACTCTCGTTCAAAAGAAATTATTGCACAAATTTTCATAAGCATATACTGTAAGCAGAGAGAGAGAACTAGGGGTGCTAAACTGTATACATATCTAAGGAAATATCTGTAACTATATCCGCTAAGATACGGATATGGTTACTCAAATCTATCACCGATAGGATATGTTTACGGATATGGTTTTGTAGTGAAATATTTTGAGTTGTATCCGAAATATCTGAATACATATAAGTCATATTGTTACAATGATTTTAGTCTTTAGATTATGGATATGAGATTAATTTTGACGATCAAGAAATCTAATTATAGCTTTTCAAATATAATGAAAATACTAATGTACTCTTTTGTACCATATGAACTAAACTTTTTTCTACAGTATCTAGTTTCTCATATCTGTTTTATATCTGCATGCATATCCAATTATATATTCACATGTATAACCATATCTGTATCCGATTTTAGCAGATATGGATATAAAAATTCTACTTGAGTAAGCGGATATGGATATGGTAAGCATCATATCCAAGCCGTATCCAGACCGAATGCACCCCTAGAGAGAGCTCTAATCATAATATGTTAAATCAACCTCTTAGAAGGCCCATAGTGCCGCGCCAAGCTTGTCATCCCAATCTCGTTTGTTAGTCTTCACGAGTTTTGATAAAAATTTGATGATAGTCTTGTTGAAGGCTTCAACCAATCCGTTTGCTGCGGGATTGTACGCCGTTGACGAGAGGTCCTGAATTCTGAACTTCTCGCAAAACCTAATGTAGGCATTGCTGACGAATTGAGGACCATTGTCGTGTATAATCCGTCTTGGGACACCATATCGGTAAATAATGTGGTGTTTGATGAATGCAATCACGTTGCTCGTCTTAACTTCCCTGAGTGGGATAGCTTCAGCCCATTTGGAGAAGTAATCGGTGATCGCGAGAATAAATCGATCACCTTTGACAGACGGGGGATTTATGGGACCAACGATATCCATTCCCCAAGTCTCAAAAGGCCATGACGTAGCCGAAGGATGCAAATGCTCCGGGGGTTGGTGCATATAATTCGCGTGCACTTGACATGCGTGACACTCTCGGGCATATGCGACCTACATAGATGCCCCCAAAAAATTTGTGTTTGGTTCAAAAATTGTTTTCTTCATTGTGATTGAATCTATTACAACTTCAAGCGTTACAATAAACTCAACAAAAAGTTAGTCTTTTTATAACACTTTTTACACAATGGAAATAACTAATTACAATCTCTTTCAAACAACACACAGATCCTATTTATTAGTCTCTGTTTGCGTGGGATCTTTGCCTGTGCCGGGGACATTGATATATCCGTGGACCGCCTACGGATCGGATCCGGTTGACAGAATGATTAATCAGAGCTCCTACTTCACCAAGGAAGTATTCGCTAAAGTACTGATATCGACCAAGCGAAATCAGTACTCTTCTCGAGATTAAGACCAAGCCTAATCTCAAGGAATGGGGGGACGGGGCTTCAGATCTCTCGAACTCTCCCTCTTTTTACTGAAGAACTTCGCCGAGATCAGCTAGCCTCCTCTGAAATTTGTGCTCCCTTGCTCTCCAACTCGGCAGTACCTCCTCGTCTTGATAATAACTCACCCCCTCTACAAGAAGACCCTAGGTTTGTATTTATAGGGCTTCGAATACAGAGTATTTGGATAAGAACAAAGGATTTGGCCATATCTTCAGTTAACAACGGCCTATCCACATTTAGATATGATATCTAAGTGGTTAGAACACTTAGAAACGAAGAAATCCCAAAAATCTACTCGAAAACACGTTTTGGGTACATAAGGCGCGCGACAGGCGCTGTCATCTCGGACTGGGCGTGGGACAGCTCGTGCTGACTCGCAGGGGTGCGAGT